CCACTGTGACCAGACTTCAGCAAAATGTCTTTCATGGTTCAACTGGATGGCTTTGGTGTTCAGTGGAGGAAAATTTCAAATAAGATCTAAAATATAGTTTTTGAAGGATTTGTGCTTATGCTTAGTATGAAATAGGTATGTCTGTTGCTGTGCTGTTGAATACGTGCATGATCTGTTAGTTCTTACATAAATATGTGAGGTTTTGCAGAACTAGAACCTTTGATATAGAAAGGAAGAGCTAGAACCAACAGAACCCGATTTCTTTTCTCTTAAAATTGTGTTGATCCCTTTTGTTGTCAGATAAGTATATTTTTGTCACTACAATTTTTCATTTTGTTACTATCCCTTATCTATCTAGAGTCTGTCTTTGCTATGATTTATGTCAAGGTTCTCTTCTGAATGGTGCAGCTGATTCGTAGTATTTAACATAGCAGAGAACCTGGAGGACTTTGGGTCACGACCCTGTTGTGCTAGGTGCCGCTTAAGGATTTTGAATAAACGCATCCCTGTCCCAGATACCTCACGCTTCCTTTTTTGCTTTCAAGATGCTGAACCCCTTTTAGCAAAAGGGGAAATAGTGTCACCATGCAACTCTTCTCTGTTACAGCAGCAGGGCTAGCCATTTAATACCTTGATTTATGACAGTGTTGTAATCTAAATAGGAAGCAGGTGGAGTTACAACTGGGTATGATACTTTGGATATTAATGGCTTGGCTTGGCAGTGGAATTCTAAAGCTGTATATACTTTTTCTGTCTTAATTATGCATTCATTAAAAGCTTTTATACCCAACAGAATAAAGTAAATATTGTTTGATCTCTGTAGTGTGCTCCCAGACTGTAGATTTGCACAGCAGGGTCTTGATAATCTGAATAAATTGTATTTCCCCAAGGAGTTTATCTTTCAAATAAGGTCATAAAGAAATGCATTCTTTCCCCTTAGTTCTCCTTGTGCTTTTTCAGCTATTTATAACACGGAGCAGAGGAATAGAAGTATATTGTAGTCTGCTGTGTACTTGGTTATGATTAACTCTAATTTATCAATCTGTTACTTACATCCTTTTCTGTGGCTTGTGCAAGGCAATTATTCGTTGAAGTACAAACGAATAAAGATGGATTTGGAAGTAATTTAAATACAATGTTTATATCTATTATTCCTGTTTGACAATTTGTCGTATCTCTATATTAAAATACACCTCCATATTAAAACATGGACAATGTCACATCATTTATTTTGAATATTTAATATTGTCGTCTTTCAGATTATCTTTGTTTGGAAAACTGATTTTCTTTTATGAGGGTTTTAAATGTCAGCTCATTGTTCAATTGGTTTGGCATCTAAAGGTTGATACTACTGAATCAGGAGACCAGTAGTGTAGAACAATGGATTCTCTTACTTCAGAGAGGGGGGAAGCAGGGGGATGTGTAGTAAGTAGAATGCACAGGATCAAAGATAGTTTCTCATTTTAGAAGTAGACCCTGATAAATAATTTGGCCAATTTATTAAATTGGTTTGAGTTTACTCTAAGATTTTAGAACTATTTCAACTGTTAGTTGTAAGATCTGTATATATAAGCTTACACATATTTTCTTAGTCTGAATGTGTTTCAGCAGCGTAACATACATCATATTAGAAGAGATAGGATCGCTACCTTTCCCTAATTCTCTTCAGCTCTTAGTGACAGTTCTGCTTGTGTTCGTATTTCATCCTTCAGTTCAAAAAAGATAAGTGGCATATATTTAAAAGTTTATAAAAACAAGATTAAAAGTTTCAATAATTTACATAAGCCTGTTTTGTATTGCATGTTTTTAAAGAACGTATACTGCGATACAGTACCGAAAGATAGTTGCACACGACTTTTAAATTTTGTAGCTGCTCTTTTAACACAATATAATAAAATCTGTGGAAAACAAGAGACTGCCAAAAGTCTTATTCATGACCACACCTAAATTTAATTTCATAGTAACCTATTTATTTTTTAACAAAGTTTTAAATTCAATTAAGAGTTTAGTTTGAGAATCTGTTCAAATCAGACTGAGTTGACAGCGATTGCTTTGATACTTTCTGTTGTTTAAAAAAAGCTAGAAGGTAAGGTGCTTTTTTTTTCCCAACTAACTTACATACGGCATTTTAGTCTGCTGTTTCTGAAAGTCTTACCACATAGGAAGAGCTAAGTTATCTGATCTGTGGTATACATCTTGCAATCTCAGTGTGACATTTTTGCCCTCTAGTATCATCACAGAGACAGTAATGGATAGTACCATATAATTTTGATTTGAATATTGGCATGACAGTCTGATAATCTTCATTTTGTAAAAGCTAATGTGATACTTGCTTCTTTGGCTGTGAAATACAAACCTGTAGATCAAGTCTAACCTTACAAAAACAGAAACAAATGTTTCTGATTACAGGCCAAGACCAGTTTTAACAAAATATCCTTGCAATATTCATCAAGCAGTAAACCAAAGTCCAGCAGGTCACTAACACATTATGTTAGGCGAAGCATCAAAAATCCTCTGAAGCTTGCCAATGAAAATAAGTAAACAAATAACCCCCTGTAATAAATAAATAAATACGTATAAATAAATAAGCATCTGAAATAAGTGAACACATACAAATAAAAAGAAATAATATTGTAAATAAACAACTCGTGAGAGCTTATTTATCCATCCATAAGTATATTTGGCCTCTTCAACTGTATGACAGCTTTCATAAGAAACTTCAAGTGTTGTTGATTTGAGGGGAGAGGGAAGTTTGGGGGATCATCAAAAATACCTAAACCAAAAATGAAGGCTTACCAGGGTCTTTAAGATTTGACTGAAAATGTGAAGATTTTTCAGGGGGAAACTGCATTTGTGTGTCATATTGCTGTTCCTCTCTAATGAGGAAAGCTCTTAGAGTGGTATCTCCAGTGTGGTCCTCTTCTGAAGTCCACCAAAAGCCATCTGTCCTTCTCGATTGACACTTAGTGGGGTTTGATCAGGCCTGTATTTTAGTTGGGCTGTTGATCCTCAGGTCACAATGCTTGATTAATTATTTCTTTATTTTAATGCTCCCCAGATATAGCTGTTGACTACAAAAGAGCTCAATAAATAAACGCTGAGCTCTTATAAATTTCTTTCTGGATGTTTGGCATTCATTCAGTCAGGGAGTTCTTTGAAAAGGTAGTCTTCCAAACCAGGGACAATAAACCATGGTTGTTGCCTGTCAAATGCTGTGATGTTTACTTTGATTATACTCCTGTGCGTTGTTGCCACCATTGCATGGCCATCACAGAAGTGGTGGTGTGAGGTACCATCTGTGGTCTGCAGATATTAAATCACCGAGCAAGCAGACAGACCAGATACTTCTCATGTAAAATTCATTCCTTTCTCTTTCTTTCTGCAATTGAGGAGGATTTATCCTTACCTCCTCTATGTTGGTGTGAAGAGGAACTGACACTAGCATATCTGTGGCTTTTGGGATGATGTGCTTGTTCTGACAACGTTAAGAACTTTTCTTTGTTCTTCCAAGAAAACAATGTGAAACGCCTATGCAGCAGTTTAAGGAGGTAATGAATAGGATTTATCTTTAACGTACAAGCCTGCCAGGGAAGGTGCGCCGTTCAGACTGGGAGATCATGTAACGAGCAGGAGCCTCCACAGGAATCTGATTCGGTTTCCTCTAGTACTGACTCCTCAAAGCAAGTGAAAAAAATTCTTTCTCCACTCTCCATTGCATATGCATAAACAGCTCCACAGTCATTGGGACAGCCACCCAATTCACACGTTCAAGATGTAGTCCATAAAACATTCCAAAAAAACCCCTCTTCGCACTTTCCCATCTTCCCTGTTGCTCTGCTCTATCTGCCAGCCGTGCAGCTCATTTGACATTTACAAGATTTCTTGTCAGTTTCATTTGGTGCTGCCATTCCATCCAGCAGAGCAGTGAAAGTGAAATTGACTTAATTTAGTCTGTTTCTCTTTCCTGCTCTAGTCCCTATGTTAACTAACCAGCAAAGTGAAACTGACAAGACTTCTTGTCATTTTCACACGTGGAGCTGGTCAAGGAGAAGGCGGCTGATAGGGAGCAATGCAGTAAACTGGAAGATGAAAACCAGGATTGCGGAGGGGAGAGGAAGAAAAGTGTGAGTGTACAGCAAGAACAGAGAAAACGGGTGAACGTGCTTATTTCCCAGACGTCCTGGGTGCTTTTCTCTAATACGGATGAATTCTTGGCCTCTCCCCTGAAGAGCGTATGGTCTAGAATAGCAGTAGTTAGCTGTCCAGACGCTAATTTACAAGGGATGCCAAGTTGAAAACGTTAGCCTGTAAATATAGGCTGTCTGTTACCAGGATGGAAAAAACTTCCTGCACTGAGTTACTGTAGCTTTTGTCTCTGCAGATTTTCTGCTGCTAGAAGGAGGGGGAGAAAGAATACGAGGCCAACATCCACTATAGGTTGATGTCAGTGGTTGGAAAAAAAGGGTCTATTTGTTCATTGAAGATAAATTTGTATGTAATAAAATGTAGCTCAGCATCTCATATTTTGTGAGGTTTCATGGAACTAAAAGTCGTGCTACACAGGTTCTCTAGCTCAATCAAAACGGTAAATAATGAACAAACAATTGCTTTGTAACAAACTATTGTAGTTAACAAATATATTTTTTTAATCCACTTGTTAACTCCTGCGAGCTCTTGTCATACAGTGTAAATCATGCTGGTTTATTATTTTATGTACTAATCCATATTTTTTACAGATGCTGTATGCATATATAACATTAGTAGTTGCAATATAAATTAGTACTATCATATATATTTGCATATGCACTGATAACATTTACACATACATTTTGAATGAGGCCATGTTAATTAATTTCAAGGTATATTACCTTTCTCCACAGCTCTAAACGAACAACCTTTTTTCATTACCTGAGACCTGTGGGGTTTTGTGTTCTCCGATTTGTTTATTTGTTTGTTTGGTTTTTTTTCTGAGACATATTTTGTTTGCTTCACCCATTTAGGAATTAAATAGTTTTAATTACTTGGACCTGTATAAGCTTGCGGACCTCTTCAACCTCACCTTGTTGGAGAATGCAGTGGTTGACTTCTTAGTAAAACATCTCTCCGAGCTACTGAAGAGTCGTCCTGAAGAAGTTCTGGCACTCCCATACTGTCTCCTTCGAGAGGTTTTTAAAAGTGATAGACTCACTTCACTCAGTGAAGAACAAATCTGGCAGGTAAGGAGATTGGTGAACAAGCAGAATGTGTGATACTCTATAAACTGTAGCAGTAATCTGTTGTTTTGAAACCCTGGAGCAATCTCAAGGGAGAATAAGCACTTGAGCAAAAACTGTGAATAACAACTGAGGGAATTTTTTAAATGAAATTCAAAAAAATGTTGTGTTGTGTTAATGCAATTAGTTTGTTTGAAAGAGAAATTTGTCTTGTTGCTTCACTTGTGTTACTCAGATGTGGCCAGAGATTTTTTTCCAGATCCAACTTTGTTGGTGGGAAGAGATGGCCAATACGTGCAACTCAATTATCATTGCATCTGGTGGGGTTAGTGCCACAAGTCTGGCAGCAAACCTGCTTCTGCAGTCTCTCCCATTCACTTCAGACAAACTTAGCTGTGTAACTTCAGTAGTCATTTAAATTGTTTAGGCCACCACAGCTGACTTTGCCTGAAGCAAATTAGCGAATCATCACACAGGCTGCTCTGCTCAGAGATGAGTGGAGGCATCAGTGGAAGGTTTTTGGCAAGAAGCTGGAGGTGGTGATAATTTCTTTTAAAAAAGCTGGCTCTAGAAAAGGACCAGGTTGCTAGCTATAGAATATTAACAGGATAAAAGCGTTATGTTGTGACCTTTAGTGTGTGGGGGTGGGGTGGGTGGGAGGGAAACCTAATATGAAAAAAACATGTAGCCTGTAAAGAGAAACACAAAACTAAATCAAAATCTGTCCTTGGAAACATTCCCGTCATATGTCTGTAAAAATTGCAATTCACGATATAGTAGAAGGAAATCTCTGTAACACTGGTTACCCAAACACTTCGTTCTGTTTCCTTTTTGCTGTCATGTTTTATAGATGGAAAGTATTTCAGGGTATTTCAAGGTAGAATGTAACTTCCTAAAAAGAAAGCATTGGTTTCTTTCAAGCAAGTGGGTTATCTTGGTCCAACAGAGAAGACTTAGAGTCAGAAGATTGATTTATATTTCAGTCCCTGTTTTTTATCTACTTATCTTTCAGATTATTCTAAGCAAATCATTTCATCTGTATGCCATCATTTTCTCAAAGTGCAAAATGTGTGTTCATCTGTGGGGCACTTCATGTTCTGTAGATGAATAACATCATGCAGGAACAAAATATTTATTCTTAAAAAATAAAAATGTCTAGTTAAGCTCTTCAAACCACAAAGACAGTATGCAGATATAACTTAACCCTTCAGTCTGATAGCTGGCGTATTTGTTTCCAAAACATTGAGGCTTTAGATTATGGAGTATTTAACAAAAATGATATGTTCTGCAAATACTAATATAGACTCTTGCCTGTCCTAGTCTCTGGAGGATGTCTGTACAACAGAACCTGCAGCACGCTACCCGTGATGGTGGGTTTGGTTTGGTTTTTTTAAGCATGATACTCTGGAGTGCCAGCCCACATTCCCTTTATCAGAAAAGGTTTAAATGTCCAAGTTCATATATGGGGCATGGCTGATTGGCCAGTTGGCTTTTACCGTAATTTCTCTGCAGGGTTAGTGAAATATCCTAGCTACATGCTTGGGTATACTTTTGCTAGAAAAGTTGCTACAGAAAGCCACACAAGTATTATTTAATGACAGCTCAGTAATGGACAAGCATATACAGAGTAATACGCCCTATGCAACCTGCTGAAACAAAGTTTGGGTAGTGGGAATCTTCTGTCGTTGTCCTGTCCTGCAAGAAGAACTCAGAAATAATTTTCTTAATTGTGTGCACTCCAGTCAGTGAACAAAGCTTGTGTTTCTGTGGTAGGGTCATACTGGGGAGAGATACTTATAGGTAATATGCTGCTTTTTGAGTGACAACAAACTCTACACTGTCCATTTAAGTGTTATCATAATTGCCTCTCTAAAGGTTACTGATGCTGTTCCGAATAATTTTTTTTTTAAACTAGTTTTCCGCTGCAGGCAAAACGTGCCTGTGTCTTTTTAATTCAGTCTGTAAAACCAGGAATAAATATATATTTATAAATATTCCAGGTCCCCAGAGTGAATTAAAAGACACACATAAATATTTACCAATTTAGGCATTCAGAAGGCAATAAGAAACTGGTTTTTTGCTTTATCTTAGTAAATAAGTAATTCCCTCGTAGTCAACCCAATAGAAGAAAATCAAATCAGACCAGCTATATTGCCTCAAGTGTAGTTAAGTTCATCATTTTTGCTAAGGTTATAGTGGTAATGCAATATACCATGGAAGAATCTAATATTCAGCCCAGGGTGAAGATTGGGTATGCCAGAGGATTAGTGTCAGGGTGCTTTATAGAAGTGAAACTTGATGGACAGGCTGGAGACAGATCTACAGAATCTCATTAAATTGCTGAATTGTTCATTACTGAACACTCTCACTGTAATAAAGTGCTCATTGACTTTGACAAATCCCCATCCCATGTCTTAAGGAAGAACAGCAAAGCAAGAGGTGTTGGGGAAGCTGGAGGAAATTGGCACAAAGTGGGGCAGATAATAGAAAAGCTGATGGGGGATGCTACTGTTTGATTTGTCTGTCTTACCTGCGACTAGTGTGGCCTCCTGCGCACACACATGCATGCGTGTTATGGCGATATGAATTCAGTGTGTCCCCAAGGCACCTTTACTCTTAGCGCTCCTATGAGGCCCTAAGCACAAATTAAAGCTTCCCTCAGAGAACCTGGGGAAAGGGTGCAGAGCACAGTTATTTTCACTAGTTTCAATTCCCAGTGTCCACTGGGCGATTTGTTCCTAATGCACATAAAGATGAAGGCAGTTATTTTAATGCATCAAAATGTGTACACAGAGCGATGCTTGAATGTGAGTTAAACTGAAGTGACTTCAGCTCATATCTGGCACATTTTGGATTTTTGTTAGACTACCAATTCACAGTTGCCCAATTTTAGTGAATATGGTGAAATAAAACCTTGAACAAAGCAAGTTTGAGAAAGTTAAACAGTAATATTAATGTCAGTATAGTAGGATGTGGATTAATGTAGAGTACTACAGTAATTTCTGTTGATTCTTTCAGAAAGAAAAAATGTGACTTCCAAGCCAGGGTAGAGTGGACAAACTAAGTAGTTCATTCCTCTTTCTACCTCTTAAAGTCTTAGGAAACTCTTTGGCCTAATGTAGGTGTCTTATTTTTAGTGGAGAAAATAGACAAGGAATGTAATGATGTATTTCTTAAAACAAATAAACAACAAAAAGAAATCCCACCAGAAAACTTCTGTAGGCTGTGAAATTGGAGCAGTTTACTAGCCTCCATCATTAGGGTTTTTTTTTAGCTAGACTGAGCCAGTAGCAATGATTATTAGGTGACGTAGGATTTGTTTTCATATTGATTTTTTATATTTTACCAGCATGTGAGATTATGAACTATTATTTTGTATTTATGAAATTTATTATTTGTCAGCTTCATTAAAATGTGAGTAAACTCAAAGCAGTGACATGGAAGAAAGGATTAAATAAAAAAAAAAAGAAGAAAACCAAAGAAGAATCCTGAAGAAGTTGGAGGGAAAAAAGCAAATTCTTCGGTATTTTTCCTCTTTATCATGAGCTGTGCAGCATGCTTTTTTTCACAGGAAACGGTCGTGATGAGGACATAAATGTCTAGTTTATCATGAAGTGAAAAGTGAATCTTTTCATAATTGGCCATTACTAGAAAGGCTCATTGGCTCTACTTTAAGGAAGCAGATGAATTCTTTCCCTTGATAATTGAAAAGGTAACCAACCCTGTACAACAGAACGTGTTCTCAGAGAAATCTAGCAGTAGAGGGCTTCTTGTTGGAACCTTAGCAAGTAGAAAGCAAGCCAAAGATTTAAGTAATAAACTGATGTCAGCCTTAGCTGTAGTATAGTTATGCCTTATCATGTTCATTATTAAAAACTTCAGTGTCACGAGGCTTAAATGGTCATATTTCAAGGATCATACTAATAGTTAGAAATAGAAATATCTACTGGATCATTCTGTCTCCCAGCAATACATTGGTCAAATGATACTGTATTAAATACTGCACTTGATCCAAGGTGAACTCTCGAATCACATTTGGCAAAAAATCTTAACATGATATCAGTATAGATTGGTTTCTTCCGTCTGTGCTACTGGTTAAGGAGGTTGTTAAAGGATATTTAGTTTTTAAACAGCTAGCATTAAAGACAGATCAGTTTTAGCATTTGCCAATACTTCTTCTGAAGTTAAGGTTAGGAGTTTGTTCCTGGTTTTTTACTTTGCCATACAACTCAGTTTCTTGGTAATCAACTGATAAGCAAGCAATCTAGGAAAAAATGGTAGATAAAACTGCATGAGTAGTTTATTCAGCTGGAAAGCTTGCAACTCTGTTGTGTCTTTTCCAGGGCTAGGGTCCCAAGACATTCCAGCTCTGTTGACTTCCTTGTGTGCAACTTGTGAACCTGTGTACATAAAGCAAATATTCCACATATGAAAGTGTAGCACAAGTTATTCCTTTTGTTACTGTGGGTGTGATGTGCAAAATCAGTCTTTGGTCTCTGTATTAGAGAAGTGGTTTTGCTTGAATAAATAGAAAAATAAAAGACAGGAAGACTACAGTGTTACAGGTCCATATGAGTTGTTAAGCATCTGTTTTACAAAAATAATAAATGTATAAACCCAGTTTTCTTATTACAGTCCTGTTTATCCTTTTCTAAGGGAGAGTAAAGTGTCCTGTTTTCCACTGCCTTTTCTTACACTTGAGCTCCATTTTGAATCTCCTGGTGGCGTTTGTGGAGGGCCAAAACTATTCTCCAGCAGAAATCCCACAGAGTTCAGCGCTGTTGAAAATTTTGCGGTGTGCGCATTATAGCAGACTGTTACGATGGAACAGTTCTCTGCTGAAGACAGGCCCACAGACATCTTCCATACATCTCCAGTGATGCCCACATTTTCCTATGCAGAACAGCAGTTTCTAAAGTGGGTTGTCATGTTCCAGGACAAGCTTGCCATTCCTTCAGTGCAGTACTTGAAATTTTTTTGCTGTCAATCTTTTGATTCTACAG